GCTTCCAGAGCTTTGGCAGGTTACACCTGTCTGCGCTTCATTCCAACGTGAGGAAGAGACAGTAGCTCTGGATCTGGAAGGTCCTCCGGTTCCGGAAAGTGGCTGTGGCGACAAATGGATGCATGGATGGAATGACAGATAGACAGATAGTTATGAGGATACTGTGGTTTGGAATTATCATAAATGGGGTGTATAAAATAGGGTATAAACATGTATAAACCATCTCCAATGGGGTGGTTTATTCTTGTTTAAACCACATTCCATGGCTCGATGGATAGGCAGACAGACGTGGATGAATGAACGAGGTAGTTACGCAGAAGATGAGTCTGGTGAGATGAAAGAGAGCAAGAAGTCTGAATAAGACAAGTGTGTGCAAATAGATCGGAGAGATAACTTTGAAGAAGACAAGTGCGCAAAGGACAAATGGCAATAATTAAGATAAGTGTGATGAGAGAGAGACAAGGGTGATAGGATTGAATAAGAAAAATGCGCGCGAGAGAGAGAGAGAGAGAGAGAGAGAGGGGGAGAGAGGGAGAGAGGGAGAGAGAGAGAGGGAGGAGGAAATCATTTTGGACAAGATGAATATGAGAATAGCAACGTCGAACAAGATGCGGGAAAAAACAGGTGCAGAAGGTTGCAGGAACGAGCCGCAGCCACGTGGATTTCCTCAAAACGAGGAGCCTCAATTAGCCAGGTGCTTGGCTTTCAGCCACCTGTGCTGGGCCTTGTTCCTGGTTCCAAGTAGTCGACCGCTTTAAAAGGAGGCATTGCCTAGCCTGTCCCTCTTGCACGCACTGAGACGCTCCCTTTTTGGGAGGCGCTTCCGAACAGTCTGGGCCCAAAATTGAGGGATGATTCATGAACACAAAACGAACAAGTTGATCAAGTTGCATATTTATGGTGTGTCAGGCTTGTTTTGGACCCTTGCTGCTTTGGAAGAAGGCCTGAATAGAGTGGCAGACCGGCGGAGTATAGTCTGAGCTGCCGGTCGGCCATTGGCCTGTCTGTCAAAAAGAGGACCGAAGCAGACAAGTTTGAGAAAGATTTAGGTTTGCTCAAACGTTGTTGTTCAAGGTATCCTTTATGAACATTACTCTTGAAAGCACTGCTTCTGAACATTTGACTGGGGTCGGAGGGCTGTCAAAGGGTATTTTGGCTCAAAAGTTCATCAAAATTCAAAAGATCGGTAGGTTGTTGGATTTGAACAATGCCTGGGCTGATTGGAGAGAATCGGCGTTTGGATTGATCGCAAATTTGAGGACGGTGTTTTATCATCATTTCCCACCCTAATTTTATTTCTATAAAACATTGCAAGTACTTTTTCGGGGTAGGTCCTTGTCGCAATCTTGTGAGGCTTGAATTTTACAATTGTAATTGAATCTTTGTAGAATAATATGTTTGTTTAATAGACTTTTTGAACAATCCAAGCCACCAGGATGCGGAAAAAAATGAAACTTGATTGTACGGAAAAAACATGAAAAACAACGTTCAAACATGGGAAATTGAATGCTGCCAAAACAAAGACTTTCACAACGAACTGTTACTCCAGTATCTCTAGTTTTTATTGTTTCAAATCTGAACATTACTGTATTTCATAGTGTATTTTCAAACCAGATAAAACAAGTCCAACGCAATCATTCATTGGAATTAACTCGATTTTGGCACGTCATGTGGATATCATATGATATCATGCCCCAAGGTAATTCTCTCTGGCATGTTGTTCCACATGCCCTGTTATCAATTTAATTCACCTTGATTGGGATGGTCTTAGTTGACTTTCAACTCTTCTTGCGCTATGGACTGCTGAACTTGACTGTGAAGGCAAGGTTCTTCCCGGAACATTAAGGAATTTGATAAACTTTCGAAGTTGGGGGGAGGCAGTCTATGCTGAGTCGGTTCAATTTCGAATTCAGAACGTGTCTTCCGCTGCCTTGAAGAGGTGCTTTGATGGCCAGGAATCAGGCGCCACTTTTGAGTGTTGAGGATGCATCCGAGGATGAGGTTTTCATGGGCGTACTGGTGAACATGAAATCCTGGTGATATGTGGCAGTTTGGAATGTGGAATGGAGACTTGAGATGTCTTTTGTTTCATCTTCACGTTCGGGACAAGATCCTGTTGCATCTTTCTGGATGTGTAGGCTAACAAACAAAACTGGCTAGGCGGGGGAACTAGAAGAGTATCATCCAAATTCCATCACTTCAGTCAACACGAAATAAACTTGTTGCCGTGGCAAGGCATAGGCTTGAAATTGGAGCACATCAGCGAAGTCCAGTAGGAACACTTTTTTTGCGAGAGTTCAACGCGAACAGCCTTGAAGTAACATGAAGTAACCATTTGTGACAACGTCAAACAAGTCCATTTCGCCTGTTGCCGCCTCTGGCCAGGCATCGGAGTCCCTGGACTTCGTACCATGGCAGCTTCAGCACGGCCAAAGTTGACCCCAAGCCTTGATGCCAAAACTTTTGGGAAGTGGTACTGGGAGGTGAAGGAGCTGGTTGCTTTTCTTAGGGAGCAAGGCTTGTCAAGCACCGGGCTGAAAGCTGACCTCACAAAACGGGTCCGTGAATTCCTTAGTACCGGAGATGTGGCAGAGCGACGAGCTGCGCCTGGCAAAGGACCTCGCGACAGTGCGATTCCAGGTGGATTGAAGTTGAGTACGCCGGTGCAAAATTACAACAATGATGCTGCCACACGCAGTTTCTTTGAAAAACACCTCGATGGCTTCCGTTTCAATGAGTACCTCCGTGGCTTTGCCAAGGGAATCTCTGGCCAGAAAATCACCTATGGCGATTTGGTTGAAGGTTGGAAGAAAGCAGAGAAGAAGCGAAGCGAAGGCAAACAAGAGATTGGCAAACAGTTTGAGTATAATCAATTCACGCGAGACTTCTTTGCAGCCAATTCCGGTGGTTCTCGGAAGGAGATGATGGAGGCTTGGAGGACAATCCGTAGCTTTGCAGCAGGAAACAATCGCCATTCCATTCAAGGCTCAAGGCATCGTTCTTGAGAGATCTATCATATCGTAGGCTTTGCAAGACAGGCTTTGTGAAAGACAGTCAAGCAACAACCAAGAAGGAAAAACATATGTTTTGGTTTTGGTTAGTCAGCTTGCCTGAATGAAGTCATGCTTGCAACATTCTTAGCCTGAAGAATTCATTTGATTCCCCCAGTCTTTGGTTCCATGGTCGATTCACTCCTTTTTTCAACCGGGCTGCGTGACAGCCCACAGCCACTTAGGCAATTGCGAAGGTCCTAATACGTACAAGGAATTTGCCCGGCGCAACAAGAGAAAACGCAGCTAGTAGCTGTTTGGCGCTGTCACATGGTCGGCCCCCGGCAGACAAAGTATCTCTCTGCCGGTGTTTTCGTGTGGCTCGATTTTGTGGAAGTTGTTTTCTGGCCGATGTCTGTCCAGCCATTCGACCAACAAATCCGCTTTCTTGCACTTTCGCAGTGGCACTACAGGAACGCTTTTTGGCATGGCTCTCACTGAATTTTTATCGAAGTTACAATGTGGCTTACAGCCTTCAAGTTCAAGACTCCTCCTTTGCGCTGCGTAGTGCAAGCTACTCATTGCTTCCAACTGTGCCAGTCATTTGCTGTGATGATCGGGACTTGAACTTCTTTGGAGTTGAAGGTGACAATGCGTGGAGAAAAGATGGCTAGTCATTCCACTTCGCCACTGTGTCCTGTATGAGAGTGTTTGCTGTTCAGCAGAGGCAAACGTGAAAGACTATTTTTGAGGATCACCTTGTGATTTGGCAGTTGCTGCTGTTTGGATCAAGGACCTTTCGGACTTGGAAAGTGCAAACCAGGCTAATGGTCCCAAAGGTTTGCATGTAGCCGGCATCCGGGCAATAGTTAAGGCCAACTTTGTAATTCCAGTTAGATTCAAAGCCAACAAAACCAGAAATGGCAGCACTACCATGGGTTCATCACTGCGACGCAGGCATCCCAGGCAAATGAAACGACCCATTCTCTCGGACCTGAGTTTCCTGTGTAGTTAACCTCGAAGGAAATCAGTTGCCAAGTTCAAGATGTCGCTAGGAAGAGACTTTTGCTTGGATAAACAACTCATGTGCACTCCAAACCATGTTACTGTAGTATCCAGCAGCTGCGTTTGTGAGTTTAACAGGCGCCCAAGAACCATTCCAGATCTTTCAGCGAAACCAAAAAACACGTGAATTTCCAGCTGCTCTCTTGGGTGTCAGTGCCCACACAATTCCGTTTCAACTGCGTTGGCCATCTTGTTGCAGAAATTGTTGTCAAAATCGCATCGATGAACCACGCATGACAAAGCACTGTATACATTTTCTTGTGACCAGATTTTGGATGAACTTACACCCGGTGGAACAGGGATGAATGAACCAGTCAGCATGCCCACGTTCGTAGTGACCCACCCGCTGCTGTTCACACGTGCAGTTTCCAGCTGCGTGCGCGCTCCGTTTGCAGATGCCAGTCTGTGTTGGGGAGCCTTGCGGGTTGGAGGGTTGAATCTCATGACATCCAAGCGTTGGACGTTCAAAAGTGGTTTAATTCGAAGTGAAAACTGGGAATGCCAAGGAAAATAGATGTTGTCGTGCTGTACATGCTGGTAGCTAGAACAACCATGACCATGGTGGCGCCTGGCATGTTTGGTCTGAAAGTGGGGGTGTTCTCTAATCCACCAAGTTCAAACTGCAGTTCAGCAAGGTTTGTTACACATTTACTCTTAGATAATTTATCTTGGAGGTTAATGATTATTTGCCAATGCTCAGCAGGTAGTTGGAGACTCCCAGCATTTTGCAGGCTCACAGCTCCAGAGTCAGTAGCTTTTTGGCACCTGCCAGGTGGACTACATCCCTACGTCACCATTGGCTGTGGCAGATCATGAGAGATGACAGGTAATGACAGATGACTTGGTTATTTCTTGTTGATCATGGTGGATCTTCGGTGGAATTATGACAGTCCAATTTTTCTTTAGTATCTTTACTGGCAATGGGAAGCACATAGTTTGTCACTGAACCGTCTGCCAGGTGACTAAGACAAAGACACTGCAATCCACTTTTGGCTCACAGTCATGTTGAGGTTGGTTTTATTCACTATCATTCGGCATTTCGCATGCTGTTCTTGCAAAGCGCTGGATCAAGCCCAGTTTCCAGCATGCAACAGGTGTGAAAGCAGTCGTTCAGCCTGGTTGCGCTGGTGTTGTTGGTTTGATTGGATCGTTTGGCTAAAAACTGGTTAGGATCATTGCTAAGCGCTTTGCCATTGCGGGGGCGCAAGCGGGGGCGCAATGGCTGCAACCCAGAAACGCCTGGCAGGAGCCCAGTTTGAGATTCTTTGTGTTTCAGCGCCGAAGTTTCCCATGGTCAAAACATGGTTTATTGTCCCCAAAAGGGATGGTCATCCCCCTGACAATGGAGGGACAAACATGCCACATGAATTGGGGAATCCATGGGAATGCCTAACTAATGATGCTGGGATGACCATGACTATCGCAATGACATGCAATGACATGTAATGACATGTAATGACATGTAATGACATGTAATGACATGTAATGACATCTAATGACATGTAATGACATGTAATGACCAAGGACTTCCAAGGGCGACCTACTGCAATGGTGCCAAGTCAGCTGTGAACGATTGGCTGAGCCAACTGGTCACGGCTGTAGCCAAGCCCAATGGAGGCACGGGGGTGGACGGTCGGAAGCGTTGTGTTCTTCAAACCATCAAAATGGTAGGTCATTTGACACATATACTACAATATGAAACGGAAGATTCATGTGGTTCTCGCCTGTTGATTGTAAATGGCAATTTTTGAATAACTATTTGAACATGGGAATTTTATGCATTTTTTTCTGCATTTTGGTTTGGTTGTGACACTCTTCATTTCCGATCAAAAGAAATGAAACGGATTGGATCCTGTTGTGTCCAGAATCCACAGGACATGATGCATTCTGGTGCTTGCTCCTGGAAACCCGGGAGTTGCAGACGTTGAGATCTTTGCTGTCAGCGACGTCAGCGAGTGGAGAATATGGAGAATTCGTGTCGGCAGTTTCTTGACTCAGAGAGAATTCGTGAGCCAAGGAGAGAGTACTTCACCAGAATTGTCTTGTTTTGAGTACTACTACTGGTATGACTCTTCAATCTAAGGCGAGAACGGTTGTCCCAAACCCCAGTTGCGATGCTGCAAATAAGTCCCGATCGCTTTTTGGACGAGTGTGGCAAGGTAGTGTTGTCAGCATGATGACATCAAGATTTTAAAATATTGCTGGGATGTGGATTTAATGTTGGTAAAACAATAGTCAACTTAGTAAACCATACCCAAATTTACCATAAATGGGTGGTATAAACATCAAAATATAGGTTTATTATTGCTTTACTGACATTACTCGTTCAACTTTCAATATCTTCTGGCATCTTAGGTGCGGAGGAGTGTGCAGCGATTCGTGACGCGGCTCCTGGGGTCCATGCTATACCTTTCACTTCTCACGCTTTCTTGGCAGATTCTTAGCAGCATTGAGTTGTTGAGTATTCATGGTATTTCAAACATTTCCACCTGCCAAATTGCATGAAAAACTTTGGAATTGAGTTTGAAATCCAACATTGAAATTTGGCAGCAATTTTTGCTATCATTGTGTGTCCATCTTGCCTCGTTTCAGCATTTCCTGAACCTCATGCTTCCAAGGATTACATGATGATGATGATGATGATGATAATGATGATGATGATGATTATTATTATTAATTATTATTATTATTAATTATTATTATTATTATTATATATACACATATAATTTATATAGTACATGTAATGTATCTTTACCTTCCATTGGTCCCCATTTTGATCGGTCACGGTCGCCAGGACATTTCTTCCAAAGGCTCACATTTGGATGAGGAGCCCTCATTTTCCGTGTTCAGGCGTGGACTGCATGGACTTGGAGCAGACCACGGACCACCAGAATATTTTTTTGCGTAGCTTCAAGACTTGAAAGTGTCAACCCAACATGTTCAACCAGTTCTTTTTTAGAGGATCTGCTGGGTTTTTCCAGGTTGTCTTGAAGCTATTGCCATTCATTGCCCAGTGTCCATCATATCACCATATTCTGGACTGAATCCCTTTACAGACATGCTCTTTCGCTTGTCGGTCTTCAGGGATCAATGGGAGCGAAGACAATTTGGGTTTGTTTGGCTGGACTACTGTGGAACTCTAGCGTGTCTTGGAGATAACTGTTGCTGTGCTGCTACCTTTTGAAGACAGACACGGGGGTGTTCCCAGGAATTGAGGCTTCCCAGGAATTGAGGCTACACCAAATGTAGAAGTGGCTTACCTCCATTTTCCATGCGTTTTCCATGAGTTTTCTATGGATACCCATGTCAATCTGGTGTATTTTCCACTTCTGATGCTTCCCAAGGTCAGGCCCCGGTCATCGAAGGCACCAACAACGCCGAGTTCGCTTTCCACCCTTGGAGATCACCAAAAGGATGGTGGAGATCCCACTTGGGGGTGGAGTTGAGATTATAAATGGATGATGTAACCGTGGTAATCACCATAAATTGGGATATAACACCTGCAACTATCGTTATTTATCTCCTTAGGTCCTTATAACAGAACTACACCCCCAGCATTGACTACAAATGAATGGTTGGGTAATCGTTCCTTTTGAATAAGTTCCCACCCCCGAATTGTTCAATAGGTACAACTGCGGACAGGTGACAGAAACACGGGTGCCAGGCAGACAGATATATCCCTTCTCTTTTCTGCCAACCTACTGCAGCCTTCCGCTATACTGGCTGTGACGCTCTCAGAGAGAGGTGCAGCCCGGCTCTACAGGCAGGGGTTTTCAAATGAGTTGAAATCTGAAAAGGCTACAGAAGACATGATGACATGCCAGGTTCTGATTCGCAATGTGCTTGCGTGAGTCTTTCCGAGTCTATGTACTTTGACAGCAGCACCATCTGACTTCAGGGGAGAGCTGGCGGATTCGCTCGTGATATGTGTTCAAGCTGCAGCAAAGGCAGCTCAGAGGAAAGTCCGGTTCCCAGTCAACACATAAGCAATGTTCAACACCCCTGTTGGTTGATGATTATAGGGGGTTGTACTTCCCAACATCAATTGGGGACAAATCATCAACTGGAAATCCTGTTCTCAACCAGCCATATAATATATAATTATATATATATAGTATAGTTTTTATGATAGAGGGTATTGAAAACACTGACAAAACATGCATTGACTTCTGGCAGATCTACAGTATCCTCTGGAGACTCAGGTGATCTCGTTGGGCCTTGCGGAGTATCGATCACCCACTCCGATGATCACGGCTGCCTTTGTAGTGGACCACCTTGGAGCGGATGTACCATCCTTCCTTTCAAGGGAGGGAGTCAGGCACCGCTGGTCTCGGTATGTCTCGGTGGTCACTGTCCTTTCAACATGAGACTTTTTAGACAGTATGGGAAAATCTATGAGCTTGGCCTTTATGGTGATTTTGCACAAGCACAAAGCTTCAGAAGAATCAAACTCAAAAAAGGGAAACATGGATTCAATCTGAAACCCAACTTGGTGCATTTCCCACCTTCAAACGCCGCAGTTTTCACCACTGGCGCTCCGGATGTGGTCTGGCGGAATGCTTGGAGCTGCCGCTGGCCAAAGCCTTGAGGTGCCGATGATCTGAGCCAGTACTGTCATCTGCAATTGGTTGGCCAACATTTAAAGATTGTTGCGGTGGAGAGGATACAGAATCTGCTCAGAAGCTACAGAACTCCTTAGTGATTTTTTGTGGCAAATCCAGTAACTAAACTAACTAAACCCAGGTTTCTGGTGTTAAAAACACCGCCCTGAACAATGTCGTCATCAATGATCATCTGGAGTTCACCCACCATTTGTAGATCATTTTCCTAGGACCCCCCAAAAGTGATAATGGCGCAAAACCCTGGACAGTGATATGGTCCCCCAAAAAGCGATAACCGACAATAGCAACTACTGATATAATATATATATAATATATAATATATATAATATATATATATAATATATTATATAATATATATATAGGAATTTGACGTGGCCCAGGGCAATCACCAATGGTCAATGGATCAATGTGTTCAATGCGTGGACGTCTCACCTTCCTTGACCACGCAGGTTGGCAGCAAGTGCCTTTGCAGATGCTGCCGTGGGATCGCAGCATGCGCTGGTCTTGGAGTCAGCCCTTCGTCGGAGATTTTTGTTGGGGTCAATGATACCAAGTGATGCCATGCTTTTGCGAAGAGGATGGGTCACTGCAAACTGCCGCCACTTCAAACAGGCAGACTACCAGTGACTACCAGCACTTCAAAGAATTTAGCCATGCCCAAGTCTCAGCTGTTGGTCGCTGAGGTGAAGCTTCTTCCAGTCACCAGGTCACTGGAAGCATCTGGAAGCTGTTCGTCCATTTTGTCGTCGCTTCCAGATGCATTGGAGGCACCGTGAAACCGGGAAGTATCTCCACCTTTGGGCTTAGGAGAAATGCACCTGAGATAGTTTGGACACACTATTGTTTTTTCATGTTTTTTTGTTTTTCCCCGTTGCTTGGATATGGGATGTGGGTTAGATTGATAGGATCTGAATGTGAAAACCATGTGTTGGTAGGTGTAAGCTTGGTGTGCGGCAGTTTGCATTTTCACTTTTTGCATTTTAGCCGCTTTTCACCGCAGCTTGACTCAAGCGCTGCTCTAGCGAAAATAGCTGCTTTTGCCCCTTTTACTCTGAGCCCAATTTGCTACCCTTGCACTCCGCATTGGTAGCGGAGCGCTGTGATGCTGTCAAAGCTCCAGGCTCCCATGGCCTCGGCTGCGCCGAGACGGCCTGCTGGCCGTAGGGTGGCAACCCAACAAAGGGCTGAGTCCCTGAAGGAGGCTGCGCCTCAAGAAGGAACGCTTCCTTCTCCAATGGCGGCAGCGCCGCACCCGCAAGAGGACTTTCGACGTCATGGTCGTGGCCCCGGATCGACGCACTCCGAGCCAATAGGTGGCAGGGGAAAATCCATTGGGAAAGGCCAGATGCATGCCCAGCCCATTCCTGGTCAGGGATGGTTCACAGATGGGCGCCAGTGGTGGCCAGTGGACCCTGCAATGATGATGGCTTCATGGTCGTCAACGCCCTACTCATCATGGAGTTTCCTGAGCCAGCAGACTCAGGTGAACCCCATGGAGTCCGAGAAGATCGGAAAGAGCCAATATGGCACTGGCACGAGGATGCAGACGAAGACCAAGACTGAACCAGAAGCCGAGAAGCCATCTAAGAAGGATAAAGGCAAGGACAAGGAGAAGAAGGACGACACAGGTCGAAAAGGGAAGAAACCAAAGGAGGAGCCTCCCGAGGAAGATCCGCCCGACTGGGGCGACGGAGACGATGGAGAAGACCCAGATGGGTCGGATTACACCTATGAAGAAGAGAGCGAGGAGGAGGAACTCCAAGAGCCAGACCAGGAGGTCGAAGTCACACCTCGGTCTGCGGTCAATCTGACACCGAGGAGCGCAGAAGGTGGAGGAGCCGGGCCGCGACCCGAACAGGCCAGGCAGCGACCTGGACCCAAGCGACGCGCGGCGGCGCACAGGGTGCATCAGGCGGCAGCAGATCCGCCTAACAGACGCAGACGTGGTGGAGCACCACCGGATGGCAGCGGCCCTCCATCCACAGCTGGTTCGGGTGCACCTTCAAGCCGAAGATCATCGACGATGAACACGGATTCAGTTCGAGACCTACTGCATCAGCGAGACAACCGCCCTGATGGAAGGGCCAGGGCAAACCTGGGCCAAGTGAGACTGGAGACGTTCTCCGGAGACAGGTCCCAGTACCGCAACTGGATGAAGACGATACAGGCTCAGAAACAACTGTATCAAATCCAGGACAACGAGCTGGCGGTGCTGATGTTTTTGAGCACGACAGGAGAAGCTCGGGAGGTCTTGAATCAGCTGGAGGTGGCCGACATGCAGCAGGAGGGAGGCCTTCAAAGGCTATTGAGACTCCTTGAGGAGGCTTATGGGAGTAAGGCGGATGAGAGATTTGAGGAGAGGCAGTCCGCTTTCCTCAATTACCGCCGCTCTCCTGGCCAAAGCATAGCTGCCTATCTAGCAACGCTCAAGCGTTTGCGCACCGAGTACTTGCGCGAGGACACAGGCACAGTCATATCTGACCGCGCATTTGCGCAGCGGATGCTGACCAGAGCTGCACTGACACGCAAGGAAAGGTACGACTGCTTCTTTGCGGCGGGCGGTTCTTACCGCTCGGCCCCAATAGAGAAGGTCTTGAGGTTCCGGTGTGCGCAGATCCACCTGGACGAACACCCGTCGAGCCGACGGCAGGAAGACCGCGCCGGTCGGGCTGTGCAGCGCCAGCCGCAGAGGAAGAAGGTCTACAAGAGATCAGACCGCCGAGGTCCCTACAGGCCTACGAGACATACCCATGTGGTGGACGAGCAAGAAGATGAGGGGTATGACTATGAGGAGGCCTACAACGACACGGACGACGAGGACTTCGAGCAGGAGGCACTCATGGCAGAGGAGGACATGCCCGAAGAGGAGGATTGGTCACAGGAAGAGTTCGACGATGAAGAGCTCGATGATGTGGACCAAGCGGCCCTCCAGGAAGCCTTTGCAGCTGGATGGAAGGCAAAGAACAAGACTGCAGCAGCCAGGCAGTCAAGAGGATACAAAGGCGATGGAAAGCCTTCGAAGGGCAAAGGAAAGGGCAGGCGTCCAGACTCTCGCAACCCGGAAGAAAGGAAGAAGAACTCGACCTGTGCATCGTGTGGGCAGAAGGGTCACTGGAGAGGAGACAGTGTCTGCCCAAATGTCAGGTCTGGAAAGGATGCACCACATCGCAAGGAGAACTCCACCAACTACACCACCGGCAGGTCCAATCGAGGCAGCGCCTCAAGTGCCGCTGGAGGGGCCCGCGAGCCCCCACAAGATGTCCGAGAACGAGATGATCGAGAACCTCTGCAGAGGAAGCTGCACCCAAGCGGGTTGAAGAGCACTGGGAAGGCTGCGCCCCCAGAACCTCCTTCACCTCCCCGGAGAGGAGCAATCGACAAGTCTCCAGCAGACACCTTTGTGGTCCCGAGAGCACCACGGGAACCTCCACCACCAAGGAGACAGCCGCCGGAGCCAGATCACCCCCCTCCAGGTAGGAGGAGACCTGTGGAAGCAGCCTCACCTCCGAGGCGTGAACCCGAGTTGGAACCCAAGGCGGAGAACTCTCCAGAGAAGTCCAAGCCGAAGAGAAGAAAGCATTCGGCAGGGGAAGATCGAACGAGAAGATCAACTGGAGAGGAACGAGACAAGAATCGAGACAGAGATCGTGATCGTGGTCGACGTCGTCGCCGACAGGAGGAGGAGCAGGCGGCTGCAGCCGGCACAGAAGAACCTCGTGAGGCAGCTGCCAACGAGGAGGCCTTTGTCTCGCAGCCATCATCAGGTGTCACAGCGCGGCAGTGCAACTGGACACTGATGGTTGGCTCATGGGATGTGATCAAGGACTACAACTCTGAGGCAGAGGAGACGGTCTCATCTCATTCGGACACAAGCGACAGCGAGATTGACGAGTACGTCAAGAAGTATCAGCTGCATGACCCACCAGCGATGAAGAAAACCACCAAGGAAAAGCTGAAGGTCAAGCTGCTGACAGTTTTGAAATCCCTGGCAGAGGACGAGGAGGATGCCGAAGTGAAGAAGCGCTTGAAGCGCAAAGAGAAGCGCCTGCAGGACAAGGCGGCAGCTCGAGCCACTGGCTCCCAGGCTTCTGGATCAGAGGCACCCAAGAAGTCAAGAGCCAAGAAGGAGACCCCGAATCCGAAGTTGGATGAGGATATGGGCCTATCTACAGCGGATTTGCTCCAGCTCCTGCCGCACATGAGCAAGGAGGAGAAAAAGATCCTCTACCGCCAGTTGAAGAGGGAACGTGAAGACGAGGCGGTGAAGCTCTTCGGGAAGAACGCGGCCTCAAGCACCCCAACAATGATGAAGAGGCCGGATCGCCGCCGCGATGGGTACTCGGCTGCGTCCGTACCTTCTGGAACAGTGGGCCGCGGCCTAAGAAAGGAGGACGTGCAGGAGCCTCCGGACATGGAAGCCACGATGCCCGTTGGAGTTCGGAAGAAGCGCATGGACCAGTTCAGGAAGGAGCTCTACGAGGCGGCGAAGAACAGAAAAGGGCGCGTGGTACCATCTGAGGCGTCGGACTTGCCGACAGCTGAACAGGAAAATTGCCCTCACCCTTTTGAACGACTGTTGTGGGGAGCAAACTCGAATGCCCAATGGGCAAGCTGCCGAGACTGCAAGCTTCGAAAGGTGCTGTACTATTCGGCTATGCATGGCGCAATGGCAGTGGACCAGACTATGCCGGACATCCTGGAGGAGGACAATGGAGCGTACCACTCCAACATCCTGGCCCCTGGCCATGTCATTCTGGACACAGGGTGCAGAACAGCAGTGGCCGGTCGAAACTGGCACAACAACCTCCAGGAGCTCATGCGCCAGAAAGGGATGCCTTTCTACAAGGCATACCATGAAGAGGTGTTTCGCTTTGGTGCAGGGGCCCCAGTTTTGAGCACAGAGGCGTTCATCTATGCCATCCAGATCTATGACCACAGATCGTGGGTTCGCATTGCCGTTGTGGACAATACTCCAGAGGATGGCAGGGTGGCAGAATGCCCTGGATTGGTGGGCCCGGCAGAGCTGGCCAGATGGAAAGTCCAGATCGACTTTGCCAAGCTCCAAGTTGCCATCCATGGCAAGTGGCAGCCAACAGTTTTGAGTCCTTCGCGACACCCCATCCTGAACTTGCTCAACGTGTGCAACCGTCCAGATCCTGGTCAATGGGAGGTTGGCGAGCTCAAGGAGCTGAGGCAGCGCCTCGCGGCAGATCCACATTCATTTGCCCTCCTGCAGGAGGCACTTGATGAGCTGAGCTCTGATGCCGGCAGCGCCGGGGACGAAGCACCAAACTATGAGGCTGTGCATTGGACGGCACAGCAGCTGGATTCGATGGCCAAATGGCAACAAGACACCGAGGCGGAGGCCATCAATCTGTTGGACGTCATCGGCACGGAATGCTTCCGGGTCACCACAGGTGGGGAGCGTGACGATAGCTCCACTGGATCAATCAGCGAGAGAGAGAGTGAAACCTCTCATGAAGGTGGACTTCCAATGGTCTTGGATAGCAGTGCAGAGGAGTCCACGAGTTCAGAGGAGGAGCTGCCCGATGATGTGATGATGGCCGGCAGCGCCGGTGACACAGAACAGCTGACCAAAGGTCAGAAGAGGAGGCTGCTTTCAGCCACCAAGCAGGTGAGCGAAGCGGTTGAGGTCGAGTGCGATCGACGCCGCAAGGAAAAGGAAGTTCCACGCTTTCGACGTCTGAGGACAGGGCTGAAGATCATGGAGATCTTCACTTGGAGCTGCATGCTGTCAAGGTTCGCC